CCAGTGATGCCAATTTTGGTTACTGGGTGTTTTATAAAAATGTCTTATTACTAATATACTGATATAGTTGCAGCAATATTATATACAAAGCCGCTACAACAACAACAACAACAAAGCAAAGCATAAAAAATAACGATGATACTTTGTTTTAGCCGCAAGAACAAATGTACCAATTGAATTAGAGAATGTAATTAATTGTTATGCTAAGTACTTGTAAGTACTCATATCTTGTAATACTCATATCTGTAATAAGAAAATTTTTAGTAATTTGTTCGGATTTTGTAGATTTTTGACTTGTTTTTGAGGAATTTGGTATTTTTTTTTGTGGCAACACTGCGCTGGTGCATAGTCGAAAATTGGTAAAGGTGAAATTAGTCAAGAACGCAGAGCTTATACCTAAACGCTGTCTGTATACGCAGAATTTTGTCAATTACTGGAGCCCACAGTGAATACGCAGAAACCAACTGATTTCTTCAGTGTTGTGTACTACAGTGTTGCCACTCACAATGCCTTTTCGTAAACTTACCTTTTCAACTACAATTTTTTGTGCTATAATAGATCGTAGCTAAATATAAAGTACTTATTTTTCAAGAAAAAACCTTAAAAAAAAAAATTTCAAGTATTTTAAACGTATTTTTAATAGGAACTCATATTTTTTCACCATTTACAAAACTAACGAACTGGTAACCATCTATAGAAAGGAGAAACCAGCTGACACGGAAAAATCTAAATTCCGCAGATTTCTGCGCTACGGGCTACAACTACAGAAAAATTCTGCGTTGTTCAGTTTGCATTTACATGGCGTTCTGGTAAGAGATAGATCGTGTCAGCTGACTCGAATTTCTGTACCAGTGCGTTTACGTTCTTGACTAATTTCAGCTTAAGAAATGTAATCAGAAAAACTTTGTCCCCTTTGTCCCCTTTCAGACACGTCAAGTCTTGCTTTCAAGTCTGCTCGTTCGTTGGCGAAGGAGGTGAGAACAGAGGGGAAGAGTACAGATACCTCCGTACCGTCAATTCGTTTCAAGTTTTCTTGTCCCTTTTGATCTTTTCGTTGCTTCCCATTTAACATTTGACATTTGGAATTTGACACTGAAGGCGAAAGACACAAGATCACGAAAACGAACGAAAGACACACGATCACGCGGGAAGGAAAGAAAGAAAAAAGTTATTTTCTAGCTGCCGAAATCTCGACGCCATCTTTGTTGTAAGAAGTAAACAACGAAGAGAACGGAGAAAACCACGAAATTGTTGAACGCATGAATAATCATTTTTATTATGCAAATTCTTCTGTAAATCATGCCGTTGTGTTGAATTATTCTTTACCTTTTGTGTACACACGGTGTCACAGGCGAAAATGAAGAAAATTGCGGTAAAAAGCCACCACCAAATTGTAAACAACGAAGAAATGTAAACAACCGGCTAATGTCAAAGTCGTTAAACTTTTTTCCTATATGCGATTCTAACGCAAGAATGATAGAATACAAGATTGCGCCGATCAGAGAGGATTCTTGAGAATAACTTTTGTGTGACGTCATACTGGTGCAATTGCGAGAGAGAAATGCCAAATCGTGAGCAAGAATGGAAGAAGAAAAAATGTTGCAAGGAAACCGTAAACAAGTTGCACAAGTGTGACGTCATGAAAACAACGATTATGTCAAATTCGTTAAGAGAGGAATAGCGGTCCGAGATCGGCGCAACCTTTGTATTCTCTCAATCGTGATTCTAACGGGCTACTCTCCTGCCCGGGTGATCTTGTATTTTTGGTTCATGACTTTGTATGGTATGTAGTCAGTAGAGATGGCAAAAAAGAATAATAATCGATTAATTGGTTAATTGATTAATCGAAAGCATTCGATTAATAATTGCAATTAATCGTAAGAAATTAACCGAGTAATCAGTCATTTCGGTTGAAATCAAAAATTAGTAATAAAACATTTATAAGTAATAAAAACTAGTTTACTCCCCGTGTCAAAATTATAACGTACAAGATTTTTTTTTATTTAACATTAGTTATATTTTTAAATATAGCTTATTCTTTAGCAAAAAACGTATAAATATAAATATATCAAATTTTGTGCAATACTAAAAAAAATCATCAAAAAATTTCAGCTTTTTAATTAGATTTCTTAGAAAGATTTTCAGTATGCAGTTTTGTAGCCCATTAAATTTTTTTATAAAAAATTCCAACACTGAAGTATCTACAACTTATGGCTGTTTTTTGGCACTTTGTTGTTTGGTAATGGTATTGCTTATTTTCTTCCATATAAAAAAAAAGAAAATGCGCAACATTGAATTGGGAAAATAAAATGAAAATATGTGCATACCTGCGTTGTGATTTTTAGTAGCTACTTAGGTTAAGCTTGTGTTTCGCTTTTTGGCAAAATTATCGTTTAAACAATTTGCAGAATACGAGAATGTAAAAAACATCCCAGCTTATTTTGTTTTGAACATTGTGTGAGTAAAGTAGTCAATTTTTGATGGTTTCTTTTCGATTATTTTAAAAATTAATCGGTTAATCGCTCGATTAATCAAAAGGAAAATTTCGATACAATTAAATTGTTAACCGAATGGCCCCTGTCACACGGTCAGTATTTATTGACGCGATCCAAGTATCGCGATATTTATTGACGGTGTAGCAAGCAGGATTGATGGATCGTGATCCATATACTCACGCGATAAATATTGAACATGTAGCATTCGTGCGCGATCCATCAATCCATCAATATGGATCGCGATCCAAACATCGTGATAATTACTGATCGTGTGACAGAGCCCAATGGAACAAACCGATTATAATCGGTTATTCGATCAATCGTGCCATTACTAGTAGTCAGCAGTACTCAGGCAATTTGAGGAATATATATATATATATATATATATATAGGAATTGTTGAAATACCTTGTGCTGTCATTATATATACTTGTACCGAATAAGTGCCTCTTGTGTTTATAATAATTGCAAATTAATTAAGCAAACGTTGTCGTGCCAGCATCCAAGTTGTCACATATTTTTGCATTGCCAGTAAAGCCAATAGTGCAACAGAGCTATTTTTAAGTGGTTAGAGGGCAGATGCTTACACAAAAAGTTCTTTGTTTTTTCTAAAAAGTTAAGTTTTTAATATTCCTTAACAATCCTCTTTTTTGTTCTTCAGTATACAGGTACAAAGTTCAATTTCTGTACTTCCGTTTTGCAAAGTAAAAATAGTGCAATTCTATTAAAATACGCATATGTATGTATGTATATTTATGTTCATACCCTACAAGACAGCTGAGTACCATATGCGTATGTTATCATTATCACTAATTACAAAAGTGCTTATCAAAGTATTAATTTTTGTTTAGACCATGCGAAAAAATTAAGTACTTTCCCCTCAATGTTGTCATCAGAAAGTTCTCAGTACTAATAGTCAAACTACTCATTTATGCCATACTACAAAAACAAAAGATAAAATGTGTTAGAATTTTTGCCTAAAATGCTCAGCAATGTCTTGTAGGGTACATATATGCATATGGTTATGGTCGTTGTGTGAAGCGCAAAATAAATACTATCCCCGGGTGAATTTCCCCCTCCTAAATGTTTTCCCGCTTATTCCAGCTATAACTCTGTTAAAAGCCCAACTTTGCACTTGAGAGAATAAAATTAAACAAAAATTGCGTAATTTCTCATGTGGAATTAAACGGAGGATACCGGATGTATAAAATTTGCGTTATTCCAATTGCAGTTTTTGTACATTCTGTGTTCGCGTACATTATGGCTTCTTCGATGTATTACGCTTCAAGTACTGGCCGCATTTTACGTTTTCTGACGACAAATATTAACTATTTGCAATATTACAAAGTGAACAAATCAATACTCGTCAAGACCGTATTTGCCCTGTCAACAAGATATTCTAGTTCAACAGCAGTAGTACCAGTGCTTCCCGTAAGCGGCATTTCCGGTAATGGTAAGATTTTTAAAAATTTCATTCACACATGATTCAATAATAGGTGTATTCACGTATTCTTCCAGCAGAAAACTCTCAGAAGCAAAATTCTAATGAATTTTTATCTGATCAATCTCAAAGAGAGAAAGTCTAGCAAAAGTACGCGAACCAGGGAAGCTAACTCGTG